GAAAGCTGTTTCCACCAATCCCTGTCTTGGCTAGTCCTCAATTTGGTCCAGTATCAGAGCCCCGCCTTCTACTACACACAGAACAGAATACTAAAGCCAGAAACAGCACACACAGTGCAGCCAACTAAGTTGTAAATTCGCCAAAGTCACCAAGAGGAAGGGTCGTCTTTCAACCAAGGGTGCTGGAATGAACAGACATCTACATGGAAAAAACTGAACCCCAATCCTTTTTTTGTGCCGTAAGTGAAAATTGGCTTGAAATAGGTTATGGAACTAAATGTAAAAGCTAAAAGCACATGCTTTCCAGGAGAAAACTGCCACAACCGTGGGACAGGCAAGACTTTCTTAGATATGACACACAGGTACAAATCATATAAGAAAAAATATGATAAACTGGACCATCAAAATTAAAAACTTCTGCTCTTCAAAGAATGGTAAGAAAATAAAATACAAGCCACAGACCGGAATAAAATATTTGCAAAACACACTTGTGATGTACTTGTATCAAGAATATATAGAGAACTTTACAAACTCAGTAACAAGACAACCCAATTAAAAGGGCAGAAGATTTGAACAATTTACCAAAGAAGGGATAGAGCAGTCAATGAGCCCATGAAAAGGTTCTCAATGTCACTCTTCACAGACATGCAGTAAAACCACAGGGAGACAGTGCACACCTACGGGAATGGAAACATCAACCGGAGAATAAAAACTCGCATACCTAAGGGCTGGGCAGGATGTGAAACACCTTGTGCTGAGAATGCGGAGTGGGGCAGCCACCTGGGGACACGGTTAGGTAGTTTCCAGTCAGAGTAAACACACCGTACAGTGGGCCCAGCGACCTCACTCCCAGGTATTTATCCCAGAGTAAGAAGCAGAAACAGGTGTCCGCACAAAGACCTATCCGAGAATGTTTGGAGGGCCGCGACCCCTCCAAGGATTGACTCATGTGGCCTCCTGGAAAAGGCAAAACTGCAAACAGGTTCCAGAGCTGTGGCTGCCAGGCGCTGTGGGTCAGGGTAGAAATCCACCCCCAAGGGGCCCAAAGGAGCATCCTGGGCTGTGGGAATGCACCTTAGCTGTGGTGCTGTCTACACAGCTGTGTACACTGGTGAGGCTATACCTAAACAGGTGAATTTACCATATGTCAACTGTAGACCACCTGATTTATACACAACGAATGGAGGTCTCACTGCACCCCACCCCACTGGAAAACCTCAGAGAGTTTCTGGGTGCTAGAGGGGCAAACGGAGGAGGATGTAGTGTTACCAGAGCTGGGTCTCAGAGGCAGGTGGAGGCCCAGCTCAGAGGAAGAGGAGGGAGGCACCAGAATGGGGGTAGGAGACCCTCGCGCTCCTCACTGACAGGACCGAGCCGGCCCTGGCTTCCTTCCCCGTTTCACGCACCAGAGCTGCTAGGAGCCAGAGTTTCTGGTCCCCACTCCGTGGATGCAGCTCCAGCCAGTGGGAAGAAACCACGCAGGAGCAGAGTCCAGGCAGAGGCCACCTCCCTGCACCTGGAAACCTGAAGGCGCCTGCGCCCTGCGTGTCCTGCAGGCCACGGTGCTGCAGCAGGAGCCCAGCTTCACTGACAGCTCCCTCTGGCAGCAGCACTCTGTGGGCCACAGGACCCGGGGACAGAGGAGGCCAATGGTCACGCCGCCCGACGCCTGCCTACACTGGACACGTCTTCCTTCCAGTCCTGCTGCGCCCTGGGAGGTTTCTGACCCACAGTGGTGGAGACGTGACCACAGACAGTGTTGGCTGGGGAGGGCTGAGGTCAGGGCTTTGTTTCCCCAAGTCTCACTCCGGGACGCTAAATCCCGGCACGGCTTCAGCTGGCTTTCTCGGTTTCAGTCACTGCCCACCCTTCCCTCCAGGCTGCAGACATGCTCCCGACCCCAACCCACAGCCCAACCCCATAGGAATGCACCGCTACCTCCTTCTGGCACCTGTCAGTGCTCCCCTCACTCCTGCACCTGAGCTTGTAACTGAGCACAGCTGCGACTGCCCCGAGGAAAACTCACTAGCAGGTGGGGTTTCCTCAGGGCATGGGTGGCTGCTGAGAACAAGAGAACCAGCAGAACCACGCAGCCAGGAAGCCAGTGGCCACTGTGCACGTTCACCCAGAAACTCATTCCCCAGAGCCTGGTGTTTCATGCCTGGTAATAACGTAATTACCAGTCATAACGATAAGTCATTACTGAAGAGCCAGACAGCCCCCCATTTCCATGGCTATAAAAGCCACAGTGAAACATTTAAGTCTAGGCGCCATCATTGGAAAGCCTCCAGGAACCACCAGCAAACACCAACGGAATGATTAATAAACATCTTATTTGGTTACAGTTTCTCTTATTAAAATGTGCAAAAAATCTTAAATTTCTTTTTCCTTAGGGTTGCCACTCAAAAAACGTCTCATTCTTATATTCCTTTGAGAATGAATCAAGTCCCTATTGATTCTCATGTATAAACAGAGCCAGTGATGAGGGCTGACACGGCACATTCACACCCTGTTTCACCTTGATTCCCGTGTGGCACCCAGCACAGGCTGAGCCCCGTCAGATACACCATTAGTATCTGCTGAAGGGTCTGGGTTCCACACCACCTTCCTTCTGGGAATACCTGGCGAATGCTGAGAACTCAGGAGTGAGACAGAGGCCTGCTCTGCAGGACCATGGGCTCCAGGACGCTCTGTCCAGTGGACACAGTACCACAGGCAAAAGAACCACGACCAGCGAGCAGGGGAGGGGAGGTAGGCCAGAGGGCAGCCTAGCCACACTGTGGGGTCTGAGGCCACAGAGAGCAGCCCAGCCACGCCACAGGGTCTGAGGCCATCTCCTGCAATGAGTCCTGAGGTGGGCGTGGCAGGATGTGCGGATGGAGAAGGTGCCTGAGGAGGGGGTGCAGAGCAGCTGCGCGCAAAGGCAGGAGGGAAAGCTGCCAGCCACCAGCCCTGGAGTCAACACCCCGGGCAGAGAAAGATGAAGAAGGAGCCCTTCCCCAGCACCCAAAGAGCTCAAATACAACGCAAAGCTACAGGCTTAAGGGCCTCCCAGGCAGATGCGGAGCAGCAGAGTGGGGGTCACGTTGGACCCTCAAGACCATCTCACCAACGAGGCTGCACGAGGCCCAGCCCAGCAAGACCCTGAACGGGGCCGGGTGCTCACTGTACTCAGGAGTGCACACCTCCTGCAACTGCATTTCAGGGCCAGGGTGTCTGCTGCAGAAGCACCGGCATGGTGCTTCTACTCAAAATGAAGTGGAGTGTGAATTATCTGAGATCCATGTGGCCCATTCCATGTATCTTCTAAACAAACTCTGGAGACTTCTGTGAAAGGCACAGTGGTTTCTATGAATCATCATCTGGGCACAGTGAATACCTGCAAAAAATGTCCAGGTCCCGATCCCTGCAACAGTGAGGGGCATAGCACTCCATGGCCCTTATTGATGCCACATGAGGGCCTGCCCAGCCCCAAGGGCCTCCGGGTCCACAGCCACCACCCAGCCAAGCCGTCTCAACGCCAGGCACTGGGCAAGACCGGTCAGGCTGGTGTCTCTCTCCTTGCCTCTGTTGGGGGACTGTGGTCGAGCCCAGGACACAGTGCAGACTGGCATCAGCTCCTTACCTGCTAGGCAGTGTCACTCACACTCTCTCTCTCTCTCTCTCACAACATTCTGCTGGCACACACCAGCTGCCAGCCGCCCAGTGGGGACAGGGTAGAGACAGGACATGTGGGCTCCCCTTGGAGAAACTTTTGGCTGTGCCTCTCACGCTTCTGTGTGCCGAGCACTGGGGACCAGATCACAGATCCTGGTCCATAGCTCACAAACAGTGGGCCACAGACGATGAAGAAACCCCATAGCTGACAGACACAGATGGGCACTGAGAAAGGGGGCAGCCAGTGTGGGGCGGAGAGGCCGTGACACGGCGTGAGGAGCCAGTATGAGCAGCGAGCATCAGATGGGTGGCCCCTGGCCCTGCACAGTACCCGCGTCACCTCGCTGGCCTCCTGCACCCCTGGGCCCTCAGGCTGCTGAGGGCTGAGCTGGGGTCCGCTGGGGGACTCCTCCTGCTCTGTCCCACTCAGCATTCTGGCAGCCACGGAGACAAGGAGCCTGCACCACCTAGGTCTGGGTTCAGGCCGTGGCAACCAGTGCACACTGGTTCCCGGGCCACCCATCCTGGGCATGAGCAGGAACCCTCCTCCCCTTCCCGGCTCTCCCGGGATCACAGTGAGAATTCGTGTGATGCCCCAGCCACCCACACCTGCTGCATGAGCTCCACTCCTGGCAGGTCCTCCGGCTGCATTTAGGAATCAGGGACTCCCCAAGTGACCTAAAGTCCACTCTGCCAAGAGGCCCCACAACTTACAGAATGCCACCTCCTTGTGACCCCATGAGGTCAGGAAGCTTCCCATGAGCTTGCCCCAAGAGTAGCCCACCCCTGCTCCAAACACACCATTTCCTGAAAGTAACGGTATTGCCCTGAAAACCGGGAAACTGAGGCCACATGCCCCTACTCGCCCTTCCTATGGCCACACTATGGGGACTAAAGTTGGAACAGGGACAGCGGGATGTGGTGAGGACAGAGGGCCCCACGTCCATGCAAAGGTCCCCTTACAGATGCCCTGGGGAAAAGCCCTGAGAAGTCTTCTGGGGAGCATCAGGGATGTTGTGCCCTTGTCTTTAGGAGCCACAGACGCCTTGCCTGGCACATCCCGTGCTCACTGATCTGAGCCTGGTGTGATGCTCCAGCAGAGACCACAGCTCCCGGACAGATCCTGAGAGCAGATCAGAAGGGACACCCAGGGCTGATGCGAACCCAGGGCTGACATGACCCCAGAGCGGCCGGGACCTTAGGGCTGCCAGGACGCCAGGGCTGCCGTGAGGGCTGCAGCAACCTTTCAGCACCATCCAGGCAGGATCTGGACTGAAATGCTAATACTCCCCCGGCACAGAACAGGGCTGGAAAAGGGAAGTAAACGCCCATTCATTACCTACCTATGATGGAATCCCTCCGGAAAACATCTCTATCGAAAATGTAGAAGGACAGGTGGCGAAAACTCCGAGGAATTTCACAGTAAAAGTCTTCTCCATAAAAGGGACTAGAGAGACAAAGAAAAGTGCCAGTTAGAACACAGGCCACGCTTGTGCCTCACCCTCGGGGGCGCACATGTGGCACGTGTGGTCTTAAAGTTTTAAACACACCATGACAATGCCCTGCACGGCGTGGCAGGCATGAGACATGAACCTACAGCTCCCTGTGGGATGAAGGGCCTCATGGCTGCTCCCCAGCCTCCACCTCGAGCCTCCATACTGCACAGACGACCTTCTGTAACTGGGCTGCCTGGCAGTGCAGGAAACTCAGAGACCTCCACAGAGACCATGGCCATGACCAGAACGACGTCCTTGGTATGTGCTCAAATTCAGGCCCCCTCAGGGCCACTGTGATGTTTTTAAGGTACCTGGTGTGGAGCAGCTGGTGGCTCACTTTATGCACTAAACGTAGAACACAGCACTCCAGTGCCTCACACCGCTTCCTTTCTCCAGGGATCCAGTACGAAGTCCTGACTGCACTGCTGTCCTCGCTCCTGAGCCGGGGGAGGGCCCCACTGCTGACCATGCTCAGAGAGCGCACGGCTGCGGCTGCCCATGCATGAGCCACCCGGAGATGCAGCCCCCCACAGATGGAGACTTAAACTGCAGCCCCAACTAAGAGGCAGAGGCCAGTGGGCTTTGCCATCCAACAAACCTCCGTTGTCCTGGGCCGGCACAAGTGGGCTTGGGCTCCTCACCACACTGGACCTGTGGACAATTACCACAGCGCATGCATGGCTACCATCAGCTCAGAACCTAACACAAGGCCACTTTCACACACATTTATGCTAAGGTCCGAAGTAGGAAAGTTGTAAATTATTCAAGGAAAACCATTCTGATAGAAAGCGAAGGAAGGTCAATGGTGCTGGGCCAGGTGGGCGTCCACCCCAACCACATGCAGGAATGAGCTCAGACCCCATGACCATGTATATGTAAGGGCTACAGCTAACAGCTTCTGCGAAGAAAACAGGGATGAACCTCCACCCTAGAGTCAGCTAAAGATGTCTTAGATCTGTCACCAAAAGCACAAGTGTCAAAAGAAAAATAAATGGAAAATCGGACTTCATCAAAATTAAAAACATTCGAAACCTTTTTGTATTAAAAGCATTATTTAAAAAGTCAAGGGCCAGTGGTGTGGCTCAAGCCTGCAATCCCAGAACTCTGGGAGCCTGAGATGGGTAGATCACCTAAGGTCAGGAGTTTGAAACCAGCCTGGCCAACATGGCAAAACCTTGTCTCTACTAACAATAAAAACATCAGCCAGGCATGGTGGTGAGCACTTGTAATCCCAGCTACTCTCCTGAGACAGGAGAATCACTTGAACCTGGGAGGCGGACGTTGCAGTGAGTCAAGTCCACGCCACTGCACTCCAGCCTGGGTGACAAGAGCAGAACTCAGTGTCAAGAAATAATTAAAATTTTTAAAAATTAAAAAAAAAAAGTGAAAAGCCAACTAGGGAAAAATATTGGCAAGTCAGTTATCTGATAAAGGACTTGTATCCAGAATATACAAAGAACTCTTATGACTCAATAAATGATGACAGATAATTCGGTTTAAAAATGGGCAAAAGATTTGAATGCACACATCACCAAAGAAGACCGAGGGCCAACAACGTATTAAAAATGCTCCACGTCATTAGCCCTCGAGGAAATTCAAATTAAAGCAGGAGATAGAGCACAGGCGTCAGCTGGAAGGTGGGGCCTGCAAGTCCAGGAGTCCAGGCCCCACCCTCCCTCTGTAGCAGCCTCGATGACAGGCATTTCACTTGGATTTCACCGACTTCATGATCTTTACAAGTGGGTCAGAGACTGGGTAAAGTTTACTCAGAAAACCATTTTTTTGTCATGAAAACACAAACTTCCAAGGGATGCCTAAAATGCCTACGTTGTTTTGAACATTTTGGAAACAGAAGTATCCATTTAAACACAAAAGAAACATCACTTGATCTTTCCATGAAAGCAGAATGCCACGGACTTCCACCGACTTCCACCGTGACAGAATCCTGGTTCACGGAGACCTGGTGGAAAGCCATGTTTCCTTCACACACATTCATGTGCTGGCCACTGATGCAGGGGAGCCATCCTCTGATTTTTCCTACATCCGTAGGGTCCGCATTAGGCACCGTTGAGATCTCATGTCAGGGACCCCCAGGGAGAAATGCCCTGTGCTAAGCCCAGCTTCGCAGCCCATTCCTTGTGTGGGACGCATCCTCTCACCACTCCTGATTGTTCTTGCCGTCACCGAGAACCTTGAAAACACTGGGACCACCAACGCAGAATCTTCAGAAAAACCCTCTGAAACTTCAGAGGAAAGAAACTCCAGAGGGTCAGAAAGTGGGAGTGTGTGCCTGTGCCCATGTGTGTGCACAGGTGTGGGCATGTGTGTGCTCGTGTGTGAGCCCACAGGCATTTTGTGTGCATGTGTGTCGTGTGTGCCCACAGGCATGTTTGTGGATGGGTTCATGTGTGTGCCTATGGATGGGTGTGCCCCCCAGGCACGTGTGTGTGCGTGTGCCCACAGGCATGTGTTCATGTGTCCATGGGTTTGTGTCCCGAGGAACGTGTGTGGGTATGTGCATGTGTGCCCATGGGTGTGTGTGCCCCCAGGCACATGTGTGGGTGTGTGCATGTGTGTGCCCATGGGTGTGTGCTCACAGGCATGTGTGTTTGTGTGTCTGCGTGCATGTGTGCCCATGGGTGTGTGCATGCCCCGGCACATGTGTGGGTGTGTGCGCATGTGTGTACCCATGGGTGTGTGTGCCCCCAGACGTCTTTGTGGCTGTGTGCATGTGTGGATGTCTGTCCATAGGCACATGTGCATGGATGTGTGTGCATGTCTGCCCGTGGGTGTGTTCATGTGTGCCTGTGGGTGTGTGCTCACAGGCACGTTTGTGGATGTATGCATGTGTGTACCCATGGATGTGTGCCCACAGGCACGTGTGCATGTTCGTGTGTGCACGTGTGCCCATGGTGTGTGCTCACAGGCATGTTTGTGGGTGTGTGCACGTGTGTGTATGCCCACAAGCATGCATGCATGTTTGTGTGTGCCCCAAGGCACTAGGGTACATACGTACACAAAGGCACGAAGGATGTGCCCCACACAGAGCACTGCTTTTGTAACAAGGAGCAGGGCTTGTGCTCCTGCCTCCACCCTGTGTAAAGTCACAGCTGTGGGATCTTGGCTGGGCGCACACTCCCCAGGCAGTGCCCAGTGGCCTCCAAGGAGTAGCCTGGTGCTCTGCAGACAGCACCCACACCGGCAGGAAAAACCGCCACCAACCTCGAAGCCCAGAAAGGGACATCAGATGCACATATTAGAATTCACAAGGCCTCAGGTGACAAGCTACTTCATAGGACATGTTAACAATAGTAACCCACAAAACATTTGGGGTTTTTACGATGACCAAACAGTCTCTTCTCTACATTCCAGAACAACTTTAGAGCCACTGAGGCCAAAGCGATGAGCACCATCAGAAACCTCACGGGACCCTCCTAGGTGCCCAGAAACTCCTAGGTGCCTAGCCAGTAGCCTCTGCCCTGGGTTCCCCACTAAGCCCCCTACTGCCAAGCAGAGTCACAGTAAGAGAAGCCACTTGAGCAGAGCCTTTGGGAGAGCAACTGAACATTCCCGAGCCAGCAGCCCCCAGGGACACCACGGTCAGCCCGCTGCCCAAGCCCTGCTGAGCCAGCCCTGGAGAGCAAGATGCTGCTCTTCCAGCCTCTGCCCAGGAATTCCTCCAGCAATGACTTTAGAAGCCTTGTTCCTGAATCGCAGAAGGCAGGGGCAGGGCACTGGGCCCCTCTGTCAGGCTGCCACCTGCTAACAGGAGCTGTGGTCCTCGGGAACCATGGGTCCCCCCTCCTGAAGAAGAGGAACATCACAATCACATTTTATGGAATTCGTATGTTTTCTTGCAGCTGCTTCTTTCTGCTATTTTTATCTTTTTATTGAACGGATTTCTGGCTTATTTATGAATTTTAAGCAACTCGATTTCCATGGACGCTGTCAGCACCACCAGAAACCTCTCGGGACTGTCCCAGGTGCCCAGTCTGGAAAGAGAAATCACATTTCCATTTTCCACATTTGCAGCTGAGATCCCTGGAGCCAGACCCGGCTCGAATGCAGGACAGATAAGCGTTTGGGCCTGCATCTCTGGTGTTGTTTTATCTGGTGGTTCCAACGTCCTGTTTTAATGTTTTTCTCCTCACTTCATATAACTTTTTAAATTTAAAGTAACCAAGTTATTACTTTGTTTCCTGCGAGTCACCTCAGGTCTTTCAGGAAACCAAGCAGGACATCCGGCCGGACTTATCTACGGAGCCCTGAGCCACCACCATGACCCAGCTTTATTCCTGCAAGCCATGGGCACAAGAGGGGAGTGGCTGAACGCTGGATGCCAAGTCCACATGGAGAGGAGCAGGGGGCAGGGCTGCCTGTGCAGTGAGATTTAGACCAGGAGGCCACCAGGGAGGCTGCTCAGAGGTGGTGGCGTCCCAGGGCAGTGAGGCCTGGAGAGGCCGCAGTGCTACAGGTCTTGCGCTCATTGTAATGAAGGTGCTGCAGGATTTTAGGGAAAGATAGAGTCTGTCTTTGTGCTGGAATAGAGGGTCCCTTCAGCTTTTTAGACTGATTTATTTAAGGAATAGAAAGGCGATTCCAGGGACAGTGGAGGCCCTTACAGGAAGGAAACCTCTCTCCGCAATGACTGTGCACAGAGCCAGCCTGAAGCCCAAAGCCATGATGCCATCGCCAGGGAGCCCTAAAGAAACTCCTGGACAAATGTAAAACCCCCAGAAGGCTCGAGGAGGAGAGTGGAAGCATGTCCCCACATTTTGGGGGCAATTAACCACCTCTGAGAATGAACACACGTGCTAAAACCCCTAAAACTCCCACCACCCACCCCAGACCTGGAAGGGGCACCTCTGGCCAGGGCATCAGCATGAGGGACCCAGCACAATGGCTTCCCTGGGGTGCAGGCTCAGCCCGTCAGCTGAAGAGCTACCATCCT